CTCAGGCAGTGTAACAGCCAACGTCCTACCACCTTTCCTCGCTGCTGCAGCAATGCAATCAGTATGCTCCATCCCCACTCTCTTCCCTGTGTCCAGGCTCCCTGAGAAACCAATTGTCACCCATGGCTGCCCTCTCCCAGGAATCCAGCCCGCATGGTGGTGATCAAAGTGAGTGTTTATTGAACACCTACTATGGTCCAGGCACTGTGTGCAGGTACACGCACTGTAAGTAGACTTAATCCTCACTGACAGCACTGGGAAGGTGGTCCTAGTGACACAATCCCTGTTTTACAGATGAGGAAACTGACAGGCAGGGAGGCTATGTGACCAACTCGAGGTCACACAACCAGGCCACGGGCAGCACCAGGATCTGCACCCGGGCTGTCTGAGCTCTTCCTCTCTGGGCCAAGCTGCTTGGGCCCCAGCAGGTGGAGAAGTGAGGAAGATGCCCAGCAGATCAGGCAGAGAGGGCAGGGAGTGGGGGCTCTGGAGGGAAGGCCACCCCAGTCTGGGCCATCCTAGGACGGAACAGGAGGCTGTGCATTTCTGGACGTGGGCTTCAATCCGGAGCCCTCAGGCCTGGAGACAGCCTTCCAGACACTCACTGCTGGCCCCCGTCACGGTTGCCGTCTGTCCTGAACCGAGGCAGCAGCTCTGGGAACACCTTGCCCTCTGCTGTTGATTCACCTCCCGGCAGCCGAGATGGTCCTTTGCAAACCAAGTCACATCAAGGCACCTCTCTGCTCAAAACGTCCTGCGGCTCCCCATCTCATGCACAGTAATGGCACAGGCCCGCGCACGTTGTCCAGTGGCCTTGCAGTGCTCACGGCTGCTCGGGGGCAAAGAATGTCCCCTGCACCGGTGTTCTCCCTGCCCAGAAGGCACTTCCCCAGACTTCCCGGCTCGGTCCCTCACATCTCCCAGAGATGCCTTTCCCGACCTCCCAGATTAAAGAGATGGCACCCTCTCCAGGTCTCCCTGTCCCCCCACACTGCACCTGTGACCAGTGATGAGCACATGGTTTATGTGTTTCTATCATCTGTCCCCCTCCCCAGGACACCACTCCACAGGGGCAGGGCTTTCTGTTCTGTTCAGTGCTGCATCCCTGGCACCCAAGGCAGAACGTAGCGCTTAGTAGGCCCTCTGTAAATACCTGTGAAGTGAATGTGTGAGACTTGGTTTCACCATCTTCTCCCTCCAACCTCCCATCTATAGGATCCTGTCTCATCTTTAGGCAGCTAGAATGTTCCAGGGAGCAAGGGATCACGTGCCCTCTCTGCCCTGTTTCCTGATCTCTAAAATCAGAGGGTGGGACTGGACAACCTGCAGAGCCCTTCCGCCCAAGGCCTCCAGCTCGCAGCCGGCATCGCTCTTCCTCCCTGGAGCCTGCAACAGCAGCTCCTTCAGAACTCCTCCCCGCAGAGGCCCCAGGCCCAGGCCCTGGAGTAAGCGAGGCTCGGCGGCCGCCTGGCCACGTGAGCTGTGACCCGCACACCAGGTCACCCCCGACCCCAGGTGCTGGGTCCCTGGTCTTGTAAAATCCGCCCAGGCTGGGTTACAGGGAAGTAAACCCAGCCACACTCGGCTGTCTCTTCAGATCCAGAACACACCTCTCCTTGTCCCCTCCATTTAACACTGATTCCCTCGCAGCCCGTGCTGTTGGTCTTGGGGTCCAGCCAGAGGCCCTCTGGAGAAATAACAAAATTGCGTGTTCCAGGCCAAAAGGCGGCGCGGGATGAAAGCAGCACCTGGTGTGATAACAGAGCGACAAGGCAGGGCCGGAGGCAGGCCCGACCGGGCGGGGGTCCTCCCAGGTCACTCCTGCCCGTGGCCCTCTAGCCTCACTCTGACTTTGGGGAGCCTCCACACCTCCGGTTCTCAGCAGAAACGGAGACTCAACAAGCTCTGAAGCCCTACAGAGCATCCCCCGGTCTAAAGCCACCCGGGGGCGTCAAAGCCACTAGTAGCAAGGCCAGGGCCACTGCTACAGTTCTCCTGATGCCTCAGTGTGTCGTCCACTCCTCAGGACGCAGAGATGGCCTTTCGGAGAACGCTACTGGTTTTAATCCCACAATCAAAATATACTCACCTGGGAGCACCCCCAGAGCCCAGCCTTCTTGACAGTCCCCGGCCCCTAAGGGGCTCCTGGAACTCTGTCAACTGCTGACTTCACATGGACAAGCAGGAGGGTGGAGCAGGGAAGTGCAGGCCACATCACCCAAGGAGCCAGACTGGGAAGCAGCCTTAGCCCCGCGGACCCCTGCGCCTCGCCTTCCCTGTCTATAAAGTGGGAATGCTACGAACACCTCCCTGGCAGGGTTGTTATGAAGACAACACCCAATAAATAAATGAATGAATACGTGCAAACCACTTAGCTCAGAACTGGACGCGGAGCCAGGCTACATGACAGTCGTTATTCAAGGCAACTGTGCTTTCACACTTCAAGTCACACCCAACCCACAGGTTTGTGCTGCCTTCCTGGTGGGCACTACAGCCCCGTGGCAATGACATGGGTTCAGTCACTATGTACCTGCTGTGGAGAGCCTAGGCTCCTCAGAGAAGAGATGGCACCTATGCCCCCCTTCCCCTGCCCCGACCAGCAGGCATCTCTAATCAATCTCCGCACTCGTCCCGTGGACTGCAGCCTCAGGCTGGGAACACTCACTCCAAAGCTCTAGGCAGCCACAAGCACCACTGGAAAACCTGCCTGCTGTCCTCTGCCCGCCACCACCAGGCAGAGCCCCTATGAGAGACTCAGGCAGCAGAGGGTCAGGTGAGGACATCCCACCACTGTGATAAGGTGGACCTTCGTCTTGTGGCTCACTGCTGTGGGCCCACCACTGTGCCCACCACCCAGACACTCTTAACACGTCTCCTGGGTGAATACATTAGCATCTAGCCATCGGAGCCCACAGCACACAGAGCGAGTGCCCAACGAACACAGCAGGAAGGACAGTGGTGGGCCAGACCCTGGCCCGAGCCCACCATTGAGTGGAGGAAGTACCGGCTCCGTCAAGCACACAGCCACTTTCTCCCCTTAGGACCCTGAGCAGCCCCTCCCCTGTTCCACAAGCACAGCGACAGGGTGGGGACACCAGTCAGGACTTCTAGTCCTGACTTCAGGTCCAGCAAGTGCCTCCATCCACCACTCACCACTCTAGGGACTCCTCCACCAGGGGTCCAGGACACAGGACACTGGGCACCCAGGTTGCCACTGACATCTGCAGGCCTACCAGGGTCCAGGCCCACATCGCTGCCCAAGACAGACATGGCCCCTGCCCTGGGAAGCTGCCACTCCCAGAGGGAAGGGAAAAACCGCACACACACAAATAATTCAGCTGTGTGGGCAGGTGACAAGGGCCACAGGCTGGGTGGCATGTGTCCCGAAAAGGAGGTTGGGGAAAGCATCATTGAAGGGAGGGAGGACGGAATCGCAGGCTGGAAGGTAAAGGGCACCAACGTGGGAAGACAGAATGAGCATTCCCACCAGGCACGGTGGCATGGGCCCGTCATCCCAGCTCCTCAGGAAGCAGGAGGATCGCAAGTTCAAGGACAGCCTCGACCTAACAAGATCCAGTCTCAGAACCAACAAATGACATCCTTCCGAGTGCACGTGGGTGGGTCACCCCTGGCTGCTTCCACACTCACTGGCAGAGCTGAGACACGTCGGAGACCACTTGGCCTCGAAACAGAAGACATCTGCCAGGCCAGCAGCATCCTGTGGGTGGCAAGGGCCTGGTGTCTGGAGTCCTGGACTTCAATCCGTCCTGCAAAATGCTGCCAGAGTGACCTTCCTGGCGCACAGAGCCAAACACATCTGTGGATTCCCTAAGTGTGTTCCAAGAGACGCTTGCTCCACAGCATGAGCCCAGGAAAAGTGTCCCTCAGTTAATGAAGCTTGAGGACTCCCAAACATTAGCTCTTTAAAGGCTCTGAAACGCCCCCTGCAGAGAAACCTGTTTGACTCTGAGGCACTTGTGGGACCTGCAGTCAGGACTGAGGGGGCCTGGAGCTGGTGTCCCCAGAGAGAGTGGCTGTGTGCTTGACTGAACTGGTGCTTTCTCCACTCGATTCTGCGCTCAACCCACTGACCTCCAAATTTATCTGGCCACAGACAGAACACTCTTAATTCCCCAACCCCCACCTAAAACACAACACAACACAACTCCAGGAACATTTTAGAGCACTGCTGTTCCCTGGGCCACAGTGAGGGCTTTCCCGCTGGGCATTCACAATCTGCCCTGAAGTCCAGCAGGGGGGCCAGTGCCCATTCCAGAGTCTACGTGTGTGCCACAGAGCCACCTTCCCTGCCCATCCACTACCTTCTTCTTGCCTCCCATGCCCCAAGTAAAGGCCACCTGGTCACTCCAGCTCTGCTCTCCGCACTGCAACAGGAGCAGCACTAGTGCCAACACTGACCAGGCACTTACCTGGGCCCCCTGTGTAGCTGTCCCCAGCTTAGGCCCTCGGGATCTCCTTCTCCTTTCTGGTGACAACAGCTCAGCTTTCCTTGAGGGCCACCCCTCCCCCATCTTCTCCCAGCATCAAAGGTGAAGCTGGACCCCTGGTCTGGCTCCTCGGAGTGCCCCACTGCCCTCACCTGGGGTACCTAGTGAGGGAGAGGAGCACAGGACCCAAGCGCATGACCCCAGCGCAGGGCACAAGATCCACACGCAGATGCGGGGGGAGGAGGTGGCTCACCCCGGAGTCCACACTGCAGCAGCCAAGCTCCCCACCTTGGGCTTCATCCCCAAGTCTCCCCCGTGGGAGGGGCCAATGGCCAGTCAGAAACGCATCATCCCTGAATTTGAGCCCTGGAGGCCCACAGTAGGCACATGGAAAAGGCCGTCTACGCCCTCACACCCTCTGGGAAGCTGTGGCTACTTCTCAGCAAAGAGGGCTGGTCTGACCATCCCACCTTTCAGGGAGGACCGAAGAGTGGTGGCTGTTGGTCGTGAAGACCGGGGACAGGAGAAGGGGCTGGGGCGCAGGGGTCGTACCTGCTGGCAGTGCTTTTCCTTCCGGCTGCACTGGCTCCGTCAGCCTGCAAAAGAAATCCAGAACACCTCCATCAGCCAGGCAGAAGACACCGGGTCCACCCACTGCCACCCGCCAAACTCCCGCTGGAGACCGTCTTCAGACAGAGGGGCGAGCGGGCCACAAGCCCCGGCCCCATTCCTCGGGCTGGGAAAACCTGCCCCTGGTGGTAAGGGGGAGTCAGGAGCCCTCGCCATCCCATTCGCTGTTCCCTGTAAGCCTGGCACCCACTGCCAACACAAACCAAGCAACCGCACAGCCCTGGGGACTCGGTGGAAAGTAAGTAACCAGTTAAATCTGAGATTGAATTGCACCATCTTTATTTTCAGCTGGGATTTCCAATAAAACAGTAGCTGCAGATTTATTCCTACCAACCAGAGGGGGAAAATCCTATTATGTTAAAATATTCTGTCCCCCAAACCCATGAGCAGGGGGAAGGCCAGAGAGTCCCAGTTCTTAATCTCTTTTATTTGGGAGTGGGGGGTGGGTGGGGAGATAAGGCTGACCAAATGAAATTTTCGGGAATCATAAAATTATGGTTCAGAAGGAGAGACGAAGGCCCTGGGCAGAGGGAGCTGCCTGAAGTCTCATGAGGACCAAAAGACAAATATCTGGGGTCCTGACTCCTAGGCCAATGCTCAAGAGAACCCAGATGTAGACGGAGCAATGCCAAGGTCCGCCACCCCCACCAGCTGACCCGAGCACTCCTCAGCTGCCTCGAAACACAGGCCAAGAGGAACCAGAGTTGGGATGATGCAGCTCTGAGACTCTAGTGCGTGTTTACAGAATTTTTCCAAGTGGGCTCAGGTCCTGTACTTGGAAACACCCGGGCAGGTGCCGCAGAACCCCCAGGACTCGGCACCGATATTCGGCTGTGAAACACTGGCACGGGGGCAACCCTGCGCGTGACAATGACTGGCGACCTTCCGTAGCCCCCTCGCCCCCAGGTCCACTCCCACTGCTCCCTGGTTATCGTCATTTTGTTCCCAAGCTTTTCTAATTTTCAGACTTCCAAAAGTAAAAACAGCAGCCACTTTTTTGATGTGAGCCCAGAAGCTGCGGAACTGGGTGGTGGTCTTTGATGAGAACCCGCAGTCTACAAAAATAAAGGATTTTACCCTCTCCCCCCTCAACAAAGGCTGGATTTCCAACTTCTCTTATAAACCAGAAAACCCAGTGACACCTAGGCCCAGAGTGACAACCAGCTGGAGCTGACAGTCCTGTTTCTCCACAGTCCCCACCCCTCCCTCTCATCTCTCTTTGGGCACCGGCCTGGCCCTGTGAATGCCACCCTGCTCCTGAAGGTGACTCCCGCCAGGCGTGGGTATGTGGACACGAGCCCACGTGGAAATGTGCCCACACGACAGACACAGACACTTTCATTTACTAAAAAGTCCCACAGCGACAGGCCCAGGTCTGGCTACTCAGAAGGCCACCTTCAGTAGCTCTGCAATGTTCTATCTCCCACCAACATCCAGGAGAACCAAACAGGAATGGGGTGACACCGCAGAGCCCCCCATTTCCCACACAAGGAAAATGGAAAAGTCAAGGATGAGGGAGGAGGGAGAACTTGAATGGGAGCAGGCAAGAGGTCTGCCCGCCACGTCACGGGAGCAAAGGACAGATCACTTATAGCCTCTTTCTGCCACCCGGCATTCCTCAGACCTGTACGTGACCTGTCATGATGCTCGTGTCCAAGATGTAAAGTGCTAGAGCATTTCACACCCATTTTCAATGTTGTTGTGGTTTCTTTTCTTTCTTTTTCTATCATAATTTTATGCAGCATTGACCGGGTCAAGTGTGGCAAACTATGACCGAGCATCTTGGGCACAACTGATTGTCTCTTTTATGAGCTGATGGCACTTCAGTTTTGAAGCACTAGTAGTCATAGTCATTTCTGTCTTCCACTCAGTTTTAGAAAACAAAGATAAAACGCCGACAACATTCAAATAGTTCTCAGAACACGTTGTTGAAATGCAGTTGTGTCTGCAGAGGCCCAGGTGGTGGCACTAACACTGGGATACTGGAGCAGCCAAGGGAGGAAGACCACCTGGGCAGAGGGCAGGGGTAGGAGAGCCAGCCTGGGACATGGACATGCATGGACACAGTGGGAGACATCCATAACTGCAGGTGTCAGCATCACAGCCATCATGGCTTTCTGCCCTCCAGCCAGGGAACCTGTGATGCCCAGAGCTCAACTCCCAAGAGTGGCGATCCGCGGCACACAGGCGGGGTTTGTCTGTATCCTCACAAATCCATCACAGTGGTCCCTTCTGCTTGAATTAAGCTTAACTTGGACCCTGCCATTTTCCTAGGCCCAAAGGTCCAACACCAGCAACTTCTTGATCCCACCTAAAACACAAACTCACCTTTACCCAGCACCATGCAACCTCATTCTCAACTTGAACTGAAGTCCAAGAGCACAGGGCTTCGGTTGGAGCCGCAGTCTAGGTTTTGCCATCGTCTAGCTGTGGGATCTTCAGCAAGTCGTCTATACTCTCAAGGCCCTGGTTTCCTCATCTGCAATTCAGCAGGATGCTAACTCTAGGACCCACTTCATAGGACTGGTGTGAGACTTCAGATAACTTAAATAAGGCGACAGGTACTCAGCACAGGCTCAGCTGTGATACCACCATTAACAAACCTGGATGTAGTTTCAGAGGCCACCATTTATTCAGTCCAGGAAACAGAGACCCAGGCAAAGAAAAGTCCTCGCACAAGATCACACGCGGGTGAATGAGGAGCAGGGCCCACTTGGCTGCCCAGAATCCCACACTGTGCAAGTCAGACTCTTGAAGGTGCACAGCGCTGGCTTCACCAATGGGTGGGGTGCCACTCAACCCAGAACACAGGTGACAGCTCAGGGCATGGGAACTGCACCGCCGAGGCCATCACACCTTCCCCTTCTGCCAAGGGACACTGTGCTCATGAAGGACGCAGCTTCTTGCCCTGGCTCACTATGGGTCTCCCTCTGAACCTCTTTCTCTGGAGCTGAGGGTCTTTGCTGGTGAAAACAGGAGGGGGGCAGAGGGCTGGATCAGAGCCTCCCTTCTCTGCCCCTTCTCTGCCCCTCCACGTTGAGCTGACCCAACCTTAACAGACCCCTCTACGGCAAATGAAAGATGGAGGGCAGATGACCCAGGGGGCCCCTCTTTCTCACTCTCCCATGGCTGGTGGCGGTGGACCCCAAGCCCTCCAGCCCCCATCCGAGTGCCCACCCCCATTCCTACCCCACCTATTCCCTCTCCACCAGCTTCCCCGCTGCACCTGGGCATGGCTATTTTTGGTTTCATTCGACCTTCCTCTTCCCTCCCAAATGAATGTTAAGTTGTTCTTTTCCATTCTCTTATTAAGGGTTTTCTTGGAAAGAAAATATTATTCCAAACCCAGAAATTTTATTTCTAAATTTGTGCAAATGTAAGTTGTAAGACATTAGCTGCATTTCACATTTTGTGCAAATGGCAGAAACAGGCAATTCGTGTGCTACGGGATGGGGGCTGGCCAACGATTTCGATAAAATAAACCCTTTTTTAATTTAAATGCTAATGCACTGAATTAAAATTTAATAACTGAGGAAATTGAAAAGCCGAGCAGGAATATTGGAAATAAATCCAAGCAGAAACAGCTGAAATTAAAAATTCTAGAGAGTGGGAGGACAGCAGCTAAGCTGTCTTATATGATTACATTTTTTTTTTTTTTCAGAATGAAGCAAAAAAAAAAAAATCCTATCTCTCGCTGGCTCTAGGGCAGTAAATCCACAGTGCTGTGATTTATTGCTCAATTTTCCTGAGGGAAAAAGGCTTTCTTTCATGCTGAAATATTTCATAAATTTCAAGCCAGCATAAATTCTTAATTTAAAAGTTATGGAGGTCACATTTAGTGCACTGGTACGGTTCCAAAATCTTAAAGGAATAGCAGCAACCAAAAAAAAAAAAAAAAGAAAAAAAAAAAAAAGGAGGGGTAGAATTTTTTTTTCTTTCCCATTTTGGATTTAATTCACAAGTTGAAATTTCATTATTAAAGATTCCTCCTGGATGGATAGAACCCAAGCATGTGGGGAACTGATGTGTGTTTGGAAATCTGTTGTAAAAGATAAAGAGATAAAGATTTAATTCAATTATAAAAAAGGCATTTTTTTTTTTAAGCCACTTGAGGAATTTCTGGTAAAAATTTCCTCCCTTCATTGCCCGGGAAGGGGTGAGGGTGGGGGAGGGTGGCCAATGTAATTGCTTCTCTTAGATCTCCAATCTTTTGTGCACACTGATATATTCATTTGTTATACAGCTGTTCAGCGGCGGAAAGAATGCTGGGGCGCCCATAATTCTAAGCAAATCAATCAAAAATTAATGATTTGTCATGCTTGCACAATGGAGGAAAAACAGCTCCTTGGGTCCTGGCTGCCTGGGCTCGAAGAATAAAATGCCTTTCTGAGATAAGAGAGCTAAGCCAGAGGCTCAGAGAGGCTGAAGTAGCACCACAAACATGGGGGCCCCAACGCCCCAGCTCTGTGAGCATGGAGGGGCCACCATCCTGGAGTGGGCATGTCCAAGATGGCGCCTCGGCCAGTCAAGCCCAGGACGGAGCCTACACAGCACATCTCTATGGTGGTGTAATTAGGATCATGCCTTTTCCCTCCCCCACTGCAACATGAAAATCACTTCCTCTTGGGAGAATTGAAAGCCTGCCCCCTCCCCCCACTATTTAATTTGTCCCTGCTCATTGTTCTCCCAACACTGCTAATACACCACCGTCAACGCCTTCCACCACCTCTAGGAGACTAAGGCCACGGTTCCTGCAGTGCCCACAAAATACCCCCAGACCGGGTGTCACTCCTCCTGGGCAAAGACCACATCCTACAAATGGCCAAGTCTCCAGCACCCACTCAGGGCTTGGCATGGGACAAATAATCAGCAAATATTGTTGAATCTGTTAATTGGGATTATTTCTCAGGAGGTACCTGATAATGAGGTTGCCTAGATAAATGAACTGCATGGCAATTACTTGGAT